CCTTTCCCTATCACTACACCCCCTTGTGAAAAGCCCCTCTCCGCCCTGCCTGTAGGCCCCTTCAGGTACTGGAAGGCTGCTCTAAGGTCACCGCAGGTTCTGATGCCCAAGTAGGACTCTATTCCAGTTCACATGCTAGCAAGCTTTTGTCAGAGTAATTTTCAAACTGCCATTGTGGACTTTTTAAAAAACCATGATAAGTTTCAGTGTTATTGAATGATCTAATTATAAAGTGAATGGGAAGTTGTTTTTTTCTCAACGGAAGCATAATTTTTCTGAACCGTGGCCTCTTCCTAAAGCAATTTAGCAAACCAGTGTACTGGTTCCATTAAACAGTTTCAAGACAGCCAGTTAATTCAAGCCTTCTCAGTGAACGTATCGATATACATACCCTTACTGAAAACGAGGAATCTAAAATTTCTAGGCAGTTAAATAAAGTACAACAAATAAAGTAAGTTTTAATGCATTTTCATCCAATATACAAGCAGGTAGCATACCCCGGAGGGAAATTGGATTAAACTCATAAAATTAATTAACCTAACCACTGCCTATAGTGCTGCTGACATCTGCCGGGAGAGGGCTGCTGCACTCTTTACCATTATTTTTTTGTTCCCTAAAAAAAGTGGTTTAAGAAGCCCTCCTGAATTCCTGAGTTCCTCACAAAGACAGAACTTGCCTGCGGGCTTTCAGCGCAGGCCAGAGAAGATCCACGGAATCAGAGACAGAGCTCGGCGTAAGAGCTCCGTGGCACGGTTCAATGAGTGTGTTGGCAGCTGTTCCTCTGCCGGTGGGGCTGCGGGTCAGCGGCTCTGCAAGGGCCAGGGGTGCTCACCCTTGGATCTGGCTGGATCACCCTTGGATCTCGCAACAGTGCCAGCTCAGAGGGGGACAAGTGGTGTTTTCTGCTTTGTAAGCGTTTTGAAGCTCTGGTTATGGTGTGGCTTTTCCCATTTGCTTTCTCAGCTAGAGTTTTGGTAGCAAATGCAGCACAGCATCACAGTGGCACCGCAGCCAGTGAGCAAAGCCCTGTAACAGCATCTGCTTCGAAGACGTTCTTCTCGTACTTGCCTGCTCCTGTTTCCTGCTTCTCGCCATTTATTCTTCTCGGCCCATTCAGTTGTGCTGCTGCATCAGTCTTTGGGGTTGGTGTTCTAAATCAAACTAAGTTCTGTGGTGTGGGTTTTGGGGCTTTTTTATGCAGATTATAGCACTGATTCATTTAAGAGTATGTCCCTGACAATGGTTGTGTCAGCCTAATGGTGGGGAGAATAAACAGCAGGAAAGAGAGAGAGATAAGAACAAGTAGCAGGAGGAGACACATCTTAACCAAGCTTCCTCCCCGGGTAAACAGTGAGGCAAACCGAAACCTCAAGTCACCACAGGCTCAGTGATGTTGTTGTCATATTTTAGTGCCTATGGAGGAAGAATAAGGGAAGAGAAGCGGTCAGCCGCTTTTAAGGAAGAACCTACAGGCTGTATGCTGGTAGTCCCTCTGCTGAGAGGACTCTGAGCAGGCTGTCTGGGGGTCTCAGGGCGTAGCTCACCGGCTCTGACATCTGCCCGGTCACAAGAAGGCAATCGTGAAGACAGGCTGCTTCGGAGGAGAGCATGTGGTCTCTCTGAGGACGCTCGGCAGCAGCGGGCCACTGCTGTGTCTGCCTGTGTTCAGTGACAGGAAGGGGGCTGGTGGTGATTGAGAAGATCACAGAATCACAGAATGTTCGGGGTTGGAAGGGACCTCTGTGGGTCATCTAGTCCAACCCCCTGCCAAAGCAGGGTCTCCTACAGCAGGCTGTACAAGACCAGGATGAAACTGAAAGTATTCACAGGCTTACAGGAAATGGTGGACAGCATCATATCAACTGTTTCTCAGAATACAAATATGTTAAGCTGACAGAGCATGCTTGAACTTTTCAATTTCTTGAAGTTCACACTGCTGTGATTCATAAGGCGTTGGAAGGAAAGAGGAGAAGGTCTTGGGGGAAGGAGGTACAAGATGGGCAGGCTAATTTGAACAGAATAATGAACAACACTTGAGGCCTCGATTTCTTTGCTTAGTTGGGCTTTTATAAGCCTGTGAAAAGGGGTGAGAGAAGATCAGACTATGCCAGAAATATTGGTAAGTGATGACAGTAGGATAAAATCGAGACCTGTAAACCACACTTCTATCTAAAAAGCAATGTTTTGATAGTAGTACCTTGGATTTCACTGTATATTATTCTGTATCCTAGGGCCAAGCATGGTAATGGACGAGGACAGCTTGATGATCCCCATCAATAAAGATGCCTATGAAGTTCTTAAGAAAAGAGAGGACTTGCTAAGTAATCTCATTTACAAAAAGTTTGCTTGTACATTGATTTTCAAAAGTACAGAAGGCACTGTTGAAGTATACAGGAAAAAGCTAAAGCAGGGAATTGACATTTGTGTTTGTAAGGATGATCTCACAAGACACAAGGCCGATGCCTTGGTGAATGCAGCCAATGAGTATCTACAACATGAAGGAGGCCTTGCTTTAGCCCTTGTGAATGCTGGAGGGCGAGAAATACAAGAGCAAAGCCATCATCATATTCAAATGCATGGAAAACTCAGAGCTGGCAAAATAGCAGTGACAGGTGGAGGGAAGCTTGCTTGTAAGAAAATTATTCATGCGGTTGGTCCGAGGTGGACCGTTTATGAAAAGGAAGGATGTTGTGGCGCACTTCAGGAAGCTATTGTGAATGTTCTGAAGTACGTTAGTGCTCCAGAAAATGGTATAAGGTCTGTGGCTATCCCAGCAGTGAGTTCAGGTATTTTTGGCTTCCCGCTTGGTTTGTGTGCTCAAGTGATTGTAATGGC